TGCCACGGAGCAAAAATTAAAATCAACAGAGGTAATTATCACCAGATTGGAAAGAAGGAGAAAAACACTGTTTACAAACACAACATATTTGTGCAAGTTGATAGTACGGCGTAAGTGGATAATAATAACAATAAACAGACACGAGTCGTTGTATCGTCCAGTTATGCTCTTCTCGCAAATTAAATACTATGATTTTCATGAGAATCGGCTTCGCGTCCGACCGATGGCTCCAGACGCGTTTCGAGCGCTTTCTCTCGCTCGGCCCCATGCATCTCGTACACGTAAGTATGCTGCAAGTAAGGGGGGGGGGTATACATGCATTTACATGCCGTGCATGCTCTTTTCACACTATGAATGGGTAATCTTTGCCGATCTTTGCATTTAAATACGCATCTATGCGCTTCCTCTCTTTATGACGCCAAGTTGAATTCTTCTTAATCTTTACACAGCACATACCCACAAGGAATGCCACCAGGCCCTTTTTTTGCTCTTACTAGCCCTTACTGGTTACCATGAGTTATCATTGTTGTTATTAAGTTCGGGAGTGCTCGGGTAAAATCCAAGCGTAAAAGTGGCAGTGCGTGTGCTGGACTGTCATTTAGCCGTATTATCGTGATCGATCACCAGTACTGCAACTTGTTGAGTATTAGCTGTTTCGGAACCACAAACCATCGACTCATTTATAATACGAATAGCCGTGTAAATCAATATTCTCACGCGTCTTTTCGAAAGGAAAAACGCAAAAAAAAATAAAATGAAACGAAAAAGGTAATTTGTTTTGTACAAATTGCAAGTAACCGCAGCTACTCTATAATATAATGGGAACGATGATCGAGAGATCAATATATTGATACGCTCTCATTGGATTATACACACGATGTTTCTTTTGAGCCGTATTTCACTTTCTCTCGAAGCGCTTGAATAGCCCCGGAGGAATAAAAAGACAAAGACCCACGTCATTAGAGAGGCAAGAATGAGTTGTGCATGGTGAAGGAGGAGAGGGGAAAAGAAAGAAAGAACGAGGCGTACAGAAAAGGAAAAATAAAAAGGGATCGAACCGTGGGACTCTGTCGTAGAAACCTCCGCCCGCCACGCCGGCCCTTGCCTCGCTTACGTATATAATATGCGGTGGACTACCTAATGTTATATAGACGCGTGTTTTACCCGCAGCCTCTGCTCTGCCCCATAGTGGTACACCACATACACATATACATATGCATATGTATATTATGTACACGTATATGTATATATACCCGACATACACGAACCCGAGCCCCACACGGCAATATAAATATGGGTCGCACCTGCGCCCAAGTCGTACTGCTCTATCGCGCTGCTAGCCTCTCACGCCGCTGCTGTCTCCTCTTTTTTTTTTTTTTCTTCTTTTTTTTCTCCTCTCCGCTCCTGTACCTATTACTTATCCCCGCGTCTCGAAAACCCAGCCCGATGATGTGCTCTACGCGTATACGTACGGTAGGGGCTCGAGTTCGTTGGCCTCCCCACCGCCGTCACATCGCTGTTGTACATCGATTGAGCAATATTGTCCAGAGAAAATCACGTAAGCACCCCCATACGACGCTACCTCTCTTTTCCAATGAGGTGCAGCTTACGTGTATGTGCATCGATTCACAATTGTGATTTTTTGGGGTATCCCCCCCATCTCTCGCTTTGACTTTTGCGTGAACTTTGGAGATCCGTAGCCTGTCGTTAGCCGACGCATCGCTTGCGTAATACTTACGAAGCGAAGATACTTGTTGTTATACCTATATACACTCTATAAAGGTGACTAACATCGGTGAGTCGCGACAGAAGCACTGAGGGCAGGCATCTCGCATTTCTGGAATTTCCCGCGTGCACGGCGGAAATCATTCATTATAGAGACACGCGGGCAAACTAACAAGTGTCACCCGGTACTTATCAAGTTTTCATTATTCATCGCCGATGGGTCACACACGGTATACACTCGATTGCTCAAAATTTGTTTTTTCAGCTGTACGATTCATTTTTTTCGCCGATCGAAATCAAGCCCCCCTCCCCCCCCCCAAATCAGTACTCTCACAGTATCACGTACGCAATATCGCTATACATAAACTCGTTTACAAGTGAAGCTCAGCGCGCGAAACCATTGTCCGCAACACGAGAGATTTCTAACTCGAGTTTTTAGATTGGCGCGGCTAAATGCACACCCGATGAAAGAGGCTCCGTCGTTTCCAATTGATCTCGCACGTCCGCGGGCCGCATACTTACCGAATCCGATGCCAGCCGCGGGGAGGGGCCGAGAAAAAATTCGGACCCCGCGAATGGCACCGTGGAGCCTACTCCACCGAGCGAGCTCCTGAAAAATACCTTCGGCTTTTTCTTCTTCCCGCAGTTGGCCCGTCGCTCCTTCGGAAGCTGCAGTTCGGGTTTGTGGAGGACTGTAGGGGGACGAGGCCGAAATGACTAGAAAAAAACAAAAAAAAAAGTTAACTCGCGGCACGAGCTCAGAAAGAGAGTCGTCATTACGCGGCTGCTCTCGGCAATTTGTTTTTTTTTGTCGATGATCTTTAGCAGGTATATAAATGCCAGGGCTGTGTGCATGAGTAGGTGACTATACATATATGTGGCAAAATTGTATTTATGTTGTCGCTGCTGCCCTTCATTTAAATCAGACATACGCGTTGCCGATGCGGCGACGCTAATTCAACCGGTGTAAGTACACCGCCTGACTGACTACTTTTGAATAAGATATTAATTCATTTGAAGAGTAGCGAAAGACGAGCAAGTATGACGTCGGTTTTTTGCCGCTCGCTCGAAGCACGATATTATCATTCATGTGCTTATCGACTCTATATATAGACTGTACACGTACTTCACATAACGTATACCATCGATCCGAGACAGCGGTATTTCAGCGCAGCACAATCAATTACGATCAGTCAATTGATGTAGGATTTTTTTTCCGTTCTCAACATTTACATCAGCGCTACAAATTATGAGCTACCCTTTAATTCAGTAAAACACCCGAGTCGGGTAACTTTGGTTTCATTTAAATGGAAAGTGCGACAAATAAATGAATAAATGAAACTCATCCTGAAATGGGAATCAACGAGACTTGAAAATTCGAAGCACGAAAGCAATCAAACGATCGTCAATTAGCCATTGAAAAACACTTGGGGGGGGGGGGGAAAGGCCGAAAAAAATTAACAAGTCCAAGGGGAAAGTAAAAAGAGGAGACGGAGGATAAGTCGTGCGTTCGTACGGCGCGCACGGCGGGTGCCTCGACCGACGTGTAACACACATAGGTACATAAGCACGGTAGATTGCCCGCTCGGATTTCTCTCTCTCTCTCTCTCTTTGCCGTGTGGCGGCAGTTATACACATACATGTATATATAGGTGGCATGGCGGCCCCCACTACGCTACGCCACCAGTCGGGTCGCTAGACGCGGCGCGTGTGTCTCAACCTTGCCTTGTCCTTGAAAACGCGCGATCGCGAACACGGCCCCAACAGCGCCGACGTGTAGGCCAAAGCTTGCCGCCGCCGCTACTGCACGTGCCATTTAATCAATGATCGTCATATATAGTGCTGAGCGTGCGGTGACTTTTGCGTTTCTTCTACTTCTTCTTCTTCCTTCTTGGACAATTTTTTTGTTTATCGATAGTCAATCGAAACGCGTATGGGGTCGCGGAATCTCCCGCTTCTCGCAGATGCATTGCAATGGTTGATGACGATCCGCTTGAATCACTGATGCACACGTAAATGGGTATCGAGCTCTCATAACCGGTACTACATCTTCTGCGGAAAATCACGACCAGTATGTACCTCTGATTGATAAATAAAAAAACAACCCCCATTGATTGGGGTTCCAAAAATCAATTTGTGACGAGATGTTGCGTGTATAAGTATATTATCGGTATACTTACAACCGCACCCCTGTATTTTTTACAGCATGTGCATATGTACTTTCATACGAGAGAATGGAACCTTTTACTTTTTCATAGATAGCAAAATAATTAACGATTTCATGGAATATAGTATACTTTAAAAAATGTGTTTAATGAGCCATTATGTGAGATAGCAAAGAATATCTTTTCAAGAATGCCTTTAATATGTTCCACGAAGCTGACGATCGAAAACCGAGTATACGATCATACGCATGTAATGTACAGGAGATATGCGATTAAGGAACTAGCGCTCACCGAGCGGTTATCACTTGAGATATGGGTTATTGCGATAGATTCTCGTTAACGTAACCTGAAACTTTTGATGGAACAGCGCATCTAACGAAGGTTAAAAGTTTTCACGAGAGCAACGAGCATTAATATGGTACCAGAATATGACAAATTTGTTTCAAAATTGGATACTCTGTAATTTTTTATTCTTTATGTTTTAAATGATACATTCGTGTCAATGCGAGCTATTCATACCCAAAAAGTTGACATCAATTTTTGCTTTATTATAATTATTATTATCATCACCATCAACCATCGCTAATATCTATATTTATTTTCAAGAGTAAAGTTGGAAAGAAATTCGCCAGACGGCAGCACATCCTTGCCGGCGCCGCGAGAAGCCAAATAGCCCGCATGTTAAAGGGAGGGGTCGAAGGAATAGGGCCTTCCGAGGACTTTTGGAAGGGATTGCGCGGGCCTTGGTGGGTTCAAGAAATCTACCCCAGATGGAAGCACGCGACAGGCGCTATACTTACATTGCAAAACCCTCCACTGCGGTCAATGTTACGATTGAACGTCAAAGACTCAAAAATTAAGTTTAAGCACGCTTGTCAATTTTATTTCGTTGATACTGTCATCAACAATTATGTTGCAAGTTCCTTCAGGATTTTTTATTCATGATAAATAAATTTAAGAAAAATATTTGTGTTAACCCTTATTGATAAAATGTGATCAAATCTACTTGTACGGAATTTTTTTTTTCCAAGCCTATTGACGTGGGTCGAATGTATAATAATTTATAGTGATGTACGTAGTGGGAATGTATCAACTAATAAGACAGAGGTGTATATTTGGAGATCAATATTTATTTTGATATTTTATATTGTAATAAGCGTTATCTTTTCTCTATTAATCGATAATAGACATATAATACAAATTTTCTTCATACGCATGAATATAAATAATAGTAATCTTCTGTAAACATGCAGCATACATCTCATTCATACCGTAATTGCATTTTTACACTTGATATAATGCGACTCGACAAAATGAACGTTTTTTTTTTTTTTTTTTTTAGTTTACAAAACGCCCATTTCGTTGATGATTGAGATTTGTCATATGACATGGTGATACGCATCTCATTAAAATATAGTACATTAAATTCAAGAAAAACAGAATTGGAAGACGTCGGTGATTCTTGTTGCGTAAGGCACTTAATAAAAAATAATAATAATAAAATCATAATAATTATCATCATAAAAATAATATCGTTACAAGTATTTACAAGAAAAAGAAAGAATGAAACGTGCCGAGAGTTGCGAGAAAAAGTACACAAGTCGACGTTACATATCACGGCTAGGGATCGAGTAAATTCCCCGTTGCTTTTTTTACATTTTACACAAAGTTTTCCCTCTTTTCGAGTTTTAATTTTTCTTTATTTTTCCAGTCATATAATATATTTACAAGGCACTTCATAAGGCACTGCCGCACGGGGCTACTGGCCGGAGATCGCGGAAGTCGAAGGAAAAACGAAGCAAGAAATCTTAAAAACTAAAAACGTCTCCTCGGCCTCTCTCGCACATCACTTCACCTCCTTTCTTTAGTCATCAACGCATTTTATACACTCTATATAATGATAATTAAAAAAAAAAAAAAATAGTCAACGAAAGGAACAACGCCCGAATTAGTATCTGCCGTCTCTTGAATTCTCTATTCACGAAAAACGATCACCATAGCTTCTTCTTCTTCTTCTTCTTTCGCACTGTCCCCAAGTCTTGATATCACGTCCGGTAAAAGTAAAAGTATGTATAACAAAAAAAAAAAAAAATAAAAAAAAAACAACAACACAACAACAACATCATCATATAATATGTTTTGCCCCGCCGCGAGGCAGGTGATCACAATGCGCTTTCCTCCTCCGCTGAGCCGGTTACGGCAACCAGGGTTAATTACCAAGGCCTCCAGCATTTCTCGTCGATCGACTCCTTGATCACGCTCTTCCTCATGACGAGACTGAGGGGCTTCTGTAGAGGCGGACTGTAGACGCGGGGGTCGAACTCGGGATCACTGGTGTAGCCACTGGCGGGCGAAGTCGCGGCGTCTCTGGTGTAAGAGATCGGGGACTGCGACTGTTCACGGTAGTTCGAGGGCGGCGCCTCGAAGGCAACGGGGCTCGCGGCGGAGGTCGAGGTCGAGCTGGTGGAGGAACTCGACGAGGAGGCCGAGGCGGTGCTGGCGGTTCTTTGCGGGATCGGTATGAGAGTGGGCAGGGGCGACGATGGGACCGGCGAGCTCGACGGTGACGACACCGGGCTGAGGATGCTCGACGGGGCCTTGGCTCCAGCGGCGACCAGGGCAATGTTGCCGTTGGAGAGCCGCGTGGGCACGAGCTGAAGGGCCGTCCCGTTGGCGTTCATGTACACGATGCCGTTGGACTGTTGCACTTGGATACCGGAGGCGTCGACTTGCGGCAGGATGTGCACCTGCAGCTGGGTCGTCGTGGTCGCGGCGTTCTGGGCTGCCTGTTGGACGCTCGTCTGGACGCCGGCGTTGCTGTCGGCCGCGGCCATGCAGCTGGCGAGGTGTGCGAGGAGGCGCCTCTTGGCAGCCGCGTCGAGGCCGGGGAACCTGCCGACTTCGCTAGCGCACTCCGAAAAACCGGCACGGAATTTGTTGAGCACGTTCGGGTCCGTGGCCGACGCTAACGCGGTTTGCTGGCGCTGGAGGGTCTCAAAGTGTTTGACCGTCATTTCGAGGATGTCGGCTTTCTCGAGCTTCGAGTGTCTCGCTGGCTGTAATCAGAACAAGAGGAAAACAAAATTATTTTATTTGCCATCGGATCATGTATCATGTGTGTGAACAAGTGAGCGGGAAGCCTGATAATGCTTGGAGATTGTGTATCGTCGTGGGTCGTGATAACGATAGTATCGAATACTCACGTCTTTTTTCATTGCGTCGAGGAGAAGTGCCTTGAGGTCGTTTAGGCAGTTGTTGATTCTCTGTCTGCGTTTTTTTTCCATGATTGGCTTGTTGCTTCGTCGATTTTCGCTGGACCGCCTGGGCGCGGGGGCTGTTGCCTGTGCGGGCACTGGCGACCCGGCCGGGGTCGTCGTCGTCGTTGTCGTCACAGGTGCCGTTGCTGCCACAGTTGTGGCATTGGCGGTGACAGTTACGGTGGTCTGTGGCACGGGTGGTTGCACGGCCTCTTGGGGCACGGACTGCGCTGGCGGCGTGGCGCCAACCGTGACACCTCCGGTCGGCATACTGGCGTTGACTCCTGTGACCATTGTGGGCACTAGGTGACCGACTCTCGAGCTGGAGGTAGAGGGACCCTCACGAATCAATACTGAGTGATTGAGCTGAGGGGTACAGCTTAATATATCACACTGCACCGGGGCTTGTGGTCGCTACACTGCACTGCCGCGACTTTTTTGGCTCCGATATGATAGGGGCGCAAAAAACACTTGAGCTGCTCAACGTGTACAAGTGTTGTACTACAGAGTGACGGTCGAATAATCAAAAGTCCCAAGTATCAAACTTGGGTTGAGCTCCGGTCGCTTCGAACCTCTCGCTGAGCAGGCTAAAGCTCGACTGTTGTCGGACCGTGCTGGCGAGGGGCTTGGTGGCTTTGGTCTGCTGACTGAACCAGACTTGGCTTGGCTCGAGAGCGCACGCGAGCGGAGGAGTGCCGCCTCGTGCGCCACCGGGGAGGGGTTAGCCGCCGGAGTGGGGATCTGCGATGCCGCATGCACGTACGTTATACCCACACATCCACATATACCCTTGGCTCAACTTAACCCCCACCAGCTCCGAATTCCAGAACAGCTACAAACACCTATATAAATTTTTTTTTTATACTATAGTGCTCTCTACGTCCGGCTCCTTTAATAAGGACACTACTATGGGCACTTAGCACTTGGGAAAGGGACAAGGAAAGGGATGGGAGGCCTCTCATTACTGGAAGGGGGGGTAGAAGGAAATTAGGCAATTTTTGCTGCGAGAAGGTCGCCTAAACCCTCCTCGAGGAGCATTGCGTGGTGAAAAAGCACATGTGAAAAATCACAGAGGTAAGTACTTGCCCGAAAAGTCGCACTGGCCAGGAATCGAACCACGGTCTCCCACGTGCCAATCCACGACCTAGCCGACCGAGACACCGCGCGCTCTGCACCTATATAAATATGTATATACACACACACCAAGGTATACCATGATTCGTGTCGAGGGCTGTGGGAGAGTTGGGCCTTGTGCATGATGTGGTGGCTGCAGCAGTGGCCGAGTCCATGACGAGGCAGGAAGGGAGGGAAAGGGGACGCACGCATGCACCCAAAGATCCGATGGGACCCCCGTAGGGGCCTTGGGACTTGCTTGTCTGCGATTAAGCAGTAGGGATGGAAGGGGGGGTTGGGAGACGGGCGGGTGAATGGTACACATGGTATATGTATATAATATTTAGAGAGAAAAGAAAGGGGTGGTGGGGGTGAAAGAAGGAGACGAAGAAGCCTTCGATTTCTGAACACTGGCTCACAGCCGACGACGGTCGCACCATCCACTCGATTGTGTGCGGAGCTNAAAAAAAAAAAAAAAAAAAAAAAAAAAAAAAAAAAAAAAAAGGCAAAAGGTTAAGTCACACGTTTGACAGCCCGTTGAGCTTTGGGTACGTGTATGCATTTGTGCACCCGTGTTTAAGAATAAACGTAGAAAAGCCCGAAAATCCTGTATCCGCGCCAAAAAAGCTCGAAAGCTCAGATTGGTATACGGGGTCCAAAAAAAAGGCGCAACGTGATTAAAATTTTTCAGAGGTTTCAGTGATGTGAACAACAGCGTATCGATATATTTATAATCTCACGTCAGCTTTGGAGGTATGCACGGCGTCAGTAGCGGCCCCACTGGGTACACCACAACAGTATCGATTTACTATTCACGTTCGGATGGCTTCACCTCCTCCCTCCCTCCCTCCCCTTGGAATTATTTTTTTTTACTCCCTGCAGTCGACCACTGCGTTAAACTTGCAAATCCATGCGCGCAGCCCTTGGTAATTTTATATGTATAGGTACTAGGCGGCCAATAGCAGCGCGCTTGCGTTATTCAAGTGTTGTAGCACCCACGGGAACTCGTTTATCTCAAGTAAAAGCATTTTTCCTTGAAACACGAATATTCAAAGAGGCGAGTGCAATTAATCTCCTCGGCAATGAAAGAAAAACAACGGCAGAGTAATGATATTTTGATACCACGCGCAGTTATATATATAATTATATTTATGTACACTTATACTTATACATGAGCGTTAGCGAGTAACGCACGTAAGTACCTGACTTCTCCGAGTTGTTTGAAATATTGAAACATTAAGAGTTGCAAGTTTTCTTGCACCGCTTAAAATATTACATCAGCGGAATAACCAGTTGCGTTTATCAGTGGCTACGACCAAAAGGCAAAAGTGATGTGTATGTATGCACAATGTATGCGTCCATGGGCACAAAAGAAGCGGCAATGTTAACACGGACGACCTGCGGTGTGAAAGAAAAATTCCATCGGCATAAGCGTGAGTGTCTCTGCATTGCCTGCAGTAATTCACGCCTGTACTTTCAGAGCTCTGTGGTTTTTTGCCCTACCCACACTATTAATTCAAGTCTTGTGCTCAAATTCTTACACAAAACACGTCACAGCGACATTTATAAGCCCTGTTGAAACCAACCTAAACGTTCGATTATCGACCATGGGAAGGACAGGTTACCCCGTCATTTTATTCACGGGGATTTTCTCGATTTATCGGTTTCATCTATTTACATCACGTTAAAAATCATCGTGACCTTTTGTCAATATGACGCGTGTATTTTTACTACTCCGCTGGTCGCGAGTAAAGAACCATAGTAAGTATTGACGAAGAAAAAGTTTCGAGTATACCTGCATACACATTGTATACCCTCCCACGCGTAGGGGTCAGAGTATAGGGAGAGCCAACTCTTTCATCTTTGGGATTCGTTTTCCAAAGGGATTATTAACGCTCGCGCGTCCGCTCGATCCGACTAAATTGATGATTGTAGATTTTATTTCTCCCCACGGCCTCCCATCCACACCGTCGCCGTTGTTGCTGCGTTCCACGAATATTATACGTTCGGAATGCACGTGTTACTGTCGGGACCACATTATTATGCATTAGCTTGAAGGTGTAACCTACACCTATACGAGCGTTTGAAAACTGGAAACGAATAAGAATCCCGGTGGGTTTGGTGCGCGTCGCACCTGCGACGGAGCCCCAATTGGTTACGATTTACGAGAGAAATACGCTAATGGCCCGATAGGCGGACAAGGGTATAATTTCTACAATTGTGGAAGAAGAAAAAACAGACGGCCCTAATCAACGGGAGGCTGGCTTCTATTAACATTTCGATTGTGCCTGTGTACCAAATATAATGTTTGAACAACATTAAATCACGGCCATCGAAATTTCGAAACAACCTTCGATCGGTTGATTTAAGGATCATCGCAATCCCCGCTGCCGAGATGAAACTTACACTTTGAAATTTCAGCGTTATTTATGGCATTTTTGAAAAGCCTTTCATTCGCGAAATAATTGCTCCATCACGGAGAAAGTTGAGATTTATTTGCGCCGCGGGTCCGCCAGAGGAATAATGTCGCATTCATATCGGGGAGCGGAGAGTTAATCTTCGGCAAAGCGTATTTCCACTGAATAATAAAGAGGTTTTTATTATTCACGGGCATCGCGGATGAAAGGAGGGGGGGGCTCATGCGTGATTCCGACGGTCTTTTTATTTCCCTCACCTCGCGGCGTTTTGGCTGGCCACTGTGCGCCCCCCTCTCCCTCGTCCCAGCCGAGCTGATGGGTATTCCTTAACGACAGCGCGAAAAAGGAAGAAATCGTAAATTTAATTACGCCGCGGGGTCGAGCGAGCGTCAATTACATCCATCACCCGCAGTCGACCGGGAGCCCCCGCCGTTGCCGCAAGTGCTCACTTGTACGGCGGTATTAGCAGTAGCGCTGCTCCCTTTCGCCTCAGTCCTGATGCACGAGACCCTCGCATGATTCCAATTATCTGCGGCGATGGTGACTGCGTGTCTCGGCGGCTTGCATTAATTCAAGAGATACGTTCTTTATTAAGTACATCGACGCTTTTACATTTCGTGAAAGATACCACTTTGGACAAATGAGTGAAAAAGTAGCTGCAAACGTCTTTACCGATGTCCATTGAGTAGCGATTTTTAAAAGTTGACGCGTCCCTCCAAAGCAAACATTACTCCTGGAAATGGAAAAAAAGATAAGGATAATTCAAACAATGAGTAATAGAACGAAGGAAAATTCTCATCATTTGCATTTTTTAAAAAGGTGTATCTACGTAAGAGGATGTAATTTTCCAATAGTATTTATCGAGGTATTTATCATCGTGGAGGCTCGTATTCATATATTTATCTCTCGTTAATTATTCGCGCATGGATTTGAATATCGGAATAATTTTAATTTCATCCTAATGATTAAAGTTAAAATGTATTCGGAAAATTAGCATTGGCCTCCGTGAAAATGACTAATGGACGCTAAAACCCGCGATAAGCGTGGAAATTGCCCCAAGTGACTGGATTATATGGCGGGTCATGCAAAAAAGGAAGGGAAAGCTCGAGAGGCGGCTATCAGCACGTGACGAGGAAGTCATAATCGAACCTGTCACTTTCATCGTGAGAAACAATGGCCTGCACGTTCATTTTCAATCGGAGAAGTTTCTCACGGCTTCCAAGTTGCCCGCTCCGTCATTACGAGCAGCTCGAGGAGTCGATTTCCCTTTGCGGCCAGTATTAACATCCAATCGCAAGCGTGGACTCACGTATAGGCACCTACTTACGCACTCGATGCGGGGAAAAAAGGTTGGATTTCATTTCGCTTCGCGCACAACATAATCGCAAGTCCATTTGGATTTCCCAGGAAGTATAATGAATTATCCTTATTATTATTAAGTAACATCTACTCACACGTTATCCAGATCGGCAACAAAAATTGTACGCTTGTGAAAAGCAATTGTTGTTAATGAAATACACATTAATTTAATATGCTATTCGAAAGGGCAGTGAAAATGTATAGTATTGACGAGGTAGGTAACAATGATCGTGATGATGGTATTATTAATAAATAAGTATAAACAAATGCTGAAAACAGATAAAAAGCACAAACAAAAAACGATCGCACGAAGCACTGCGATTACGACAGGAGTAATTCATAAATTGCACCCTGCCAAGCAGGTGTAATCACACGCAGATTTTCACGCAATGCGCCCGACGCTGCTCGGAAGGTATAATCCGTATATATATATATATATATATACAGTTTCTAGCTTCGACGTACGTACAAGTTTTTTGTGCCACCCCGGAAACGTTTCTGTGTACCCTTGAGCAATCGTGAGAGTATAGTGGAGCGCAGTAAACGCGTATAAGCCCTTCTTTGTGCGGACGAGGAAAATACATCTCGTGGAAAGTTCATTTTGTTCGGGTCTCGTCTCCGTTGGACGCCGTTGGGTCGTAAAGGCCGCGCAGCGGCTCGCGGGGACTTTTTACTTTTCAAGAAACTTTCTCCTCTTTCGGCTGCGACTCGGTGTAGGCACGACCACAAAGCCGGAGGTACG